TTCTAACCCCCTGCCATGGTAGGGATATCTTCCACTAGCCCAGGTTTCTCCAAGTTCCCCCCAGCAAGGCCCTGCTGTCCCTTGGGTATTGTAGTTTCATGTCTGCACAGGGGTGGTTGTGTTGAGTGGTGCAGCACCACAACAGGGTCCCACCCGTGGGGATATCAAAACACCCCTGCAGGTCCATGAGAAACATGACCTGGCTTTGGTGGACAGACCAAGGCATCTCCCACATCTCCATGGGAAGGTTTGGCCAGGTGGCTTAAAAACTCGAGGAACCGAGAGCTCAGACGTGAACACAGGGAGCTGATAGGATGCCCTCTCCTGGATGCAGGGCAGGGGAGTGGGTTTATGGACACCTGGGCTTGCTCCTGTGCTGTAGGCAAACCCATACTGGTATCAGGGAGGATGCAGTTCAGAGCTGGCAGTGGTCTGTTCAGGGATGCAGGGCAAGCTGAGGAGCTCAGAGATGCATTTCAATGTACAGCGTGGCCCAAGTAAGACAGTGAGACCCAGAGATCTTGGCCACCAGCAGGAAATGAGTTGCCTGGGTTCACTTGGCAGATGGATGCAGGAGTGCCTGGGTGGGATGGGGTCTTCTCCTGCCAAGTGCAGTCCCCCAGGACCAAGAGCTGAGTCCAGGAGATCCTGAGGGGGCCGTGTTCAAATCTCCCCTCTTCTTCACCAGTGCGAGTCTGAGGATCCCAGGTAGCAGCAGCACCATTGGGGAGAAGCTGGAAAAGTACAACTCGGCCGTGCAGGTACCAAATGCACTGGGCATAGCCAGGCTGGGGTGGGAGGGATGTACGGGAAGAGAGAGGGAGGTGGCCCGTAGCTGAGTGAGGAGGGGAGGGACTGAGCTACACTGAACACCAGAGCTAATGGGGTTGAAGAAGATGGTCCCAGGCAGAAAAAGGAATTGGCCTCAGGGTTTAGGAGCAGAGTGGTTTGAACTGATAGAACCACAGAATGGTTTGAGTGGGAAGGGACCTTAAGAATCATCTCGTTCCAACCCCCAGCCGTGGGCAGGGACACCTCCCACTAGACCAGGTTGCTTCTTGCCTTGGGAAGGGTCTGCACAGTCCTGCTGGGGGGAGGCAGTGGGGCAGGTCTGTGAGCTGGTGACGGGAAGGGAAGGAGCAGACCCCAAGGGGCTCAGGGTGTGAGCCAGAAGCAGGACGTTGCTTTTTACCCCTTGGGGTGCAGCACGGCCCCGCTGACGCCCCTGTCTCTCCCCAGCGCTCGGAGGGGGTGAAATCCTCCGTCCCTGTGCAGAAGAGCCGCCTGCTCTCCTCGGAGGGGGTGGCCAGCAAGCGCAGCTTCTTCGAGGCCAGTGCTCCCAGCAAGGCGGAGCCTCTGGCTGCCAGGAAGGTAAGGGCGGGAGCTGGACGGAGCCAGGACCTCCCAGCAGCGTCCTGTGCCAGGGCAGGCACTGGCTTTTTGGGCAAATCTTCCTCCTTGCATACCCACGCACAGCCTGGCAGGTTGGGTGGGAGTTGGGTGCCTGTTGAATGGTGCCAGGCAGGGCTGGGCTTGGGCACCGAAACTCCTCTGCCAGTGTGTGGGTTCCTGTCGATGTGCTGGTATTTGAGGAGCTGGGATGGAGCCAGCATGTGGGCTGGTCTCTGCCTGTTGCAGCTTTGCTCAGTCTCCCCGTGCCCTGGGGACTGTCCTGGGTTACATTCGTGCAGTGGGAGAGCTGGGGCTGTAACCCTGGTGTCCCTTTCTATCCTGTAGGACAACCTGAAGATCCCAGGATCAGTGACATCTCGCATTAATCTGTGGATCAGCCGAGCTCAGGAGCCTGCCAAGGAGGACAATAGCAAGGTACCATCTTGTGCCAACTCCTCGGGTGAGAGCCCTGAGGCCAGGCAGCCTGGCAGGACGAGGTCCTGCATCTGGGATGGTGGGGCTTGAAGGGTTGATGAAGTCTTGGCTGAACCCATTTGAGAGGAGTTTGGAGGTTTGGAGGTCTGAGTGCTGCAAGGCCACAACGATGAGGTATCGAGGCTCTAATTGTTGTTGTGCCCTGGCCCCAAGCCCCAAATGCCTGAGACAGCTGATTCCAGCCTTTGGTGAGGTGAGGAGGGAGCAGGTGCCAGCTGGGTGTGCATCCCAGGACATATAGGGGTACCTGACCCTGTCACCTGTGAAGGAGATCACCCCAGCATGATCCCACCTCTACCAGTGTCTGGAGGACTAGCTCTGATCCAGGGGCCACTGGGAGTTGAGCTGTGTGCTCAGTCCTTTTGCACTGGGCTCTGAGGGGCTTGGACACCTGTGTGTGCTCTGAGAGTCCTGATGCATGTGTGATCTGGGGCCATCTGCACCCCCATGTGTATCCCAGTCTCCCAAAATAGGGCGCCTTGTAGCTGTGGGGGCTCAATGCCCAGCTAAGGGGCCTCAGAGATCATCACTTTCCCCCTGTGGCTGCTCCATGGATATGGATGCACCAGAGACAGACAGAAGAGTCTTTGGCCTTGGGGTGGTTTTACTGTTCTTGGAAAGGCTCAGCAAGTCCTGGGCAGGTATCACTGCTTGCAGCAATGGGGTGTTTGGCCACTGCATGTAGCAGTCTCCTACAGCCACTGGGGTACAGGACCAGGAGGGGCAGCTCCAGCCCAGCCCCACAGCCAGGGAAGGCAAGCCTGGGCACCCCCAGTGCTGAGCTGCAGAGATCAGCTCTGCCCAAACGTGTCTATACCAGGTGACTGTGCTGGCTTGGTGTCTGCCAGGAAAGGGTTTGCTCCTGGGGTCACTCCTGGGCAAAGCTTGTGGCTCCTGGATCAGTTTTCCTGTAAAAACATCTGCTTCCTCTCTGTGGGCTGGAACTGCACTTGGTTTTGAGGGTCTACCAACATCTCAGAGCTGGCTGGTTTTACCTGAACAGTGTGTGCTTCAAGGTTTGGTTGAAGTCAGACCAAGGCAACGCTGCACCTGATACATGGAGAAAACCTTCCCGTGGCACTTATGACTCTCCTGTTTGCAGGAAATCAGGAAAATCAACAGCCTGCCAAAGCGTGATGTCTGGATAAAGCAGCCTGGAGCCACCCCTGGGGACACCAAGGTAGACACAGAACTGTTCTGGTGCATCCTCTTGAGCCAGGGGCAGAGCCAGGCCCTGTCTGCTGGTGCCTCACCCATAGGGCAGGAAAAAAACAGGCTACAGGGGGAGAGGGAACATGAGGGTCATCAGGACCCCAGGACTTGGGGGAGTCAGCAGGAGGAGACAACTGGAGGCATCTGTAAAGGTGAGAAGGAGTCTGGTCTGGGAGAAGAAGGGAAGTGGCATGTGGAAGGATATAGGGGTGCCTGCCTGCCCCATCCCCTCTCAGGTCCTGGTTAAAGCAGCTGCCTCTGGGGGCTTTGCAGCCTCAGGCCCAGCCTCACTGGTTCTCACTTTCTTTTCCAGTTGCAATAATACCAGTTGTAATATCAGATGATCTGGGAAAAACTGGTTTGCTCTGAAGAACAAACCCCAGCCCTACCCAACCATCCAACAGCTCACTGCCATGAGTGCCCCATGCCATGTGGAGCACCGGCCTCCTCTGCTTGTGGGATGGGAAGGAAGAAGGCTGGAGGAGTCTCCCTGTGCTCCTGGTCCTCATTCACTGCCTGCCTGGGGTTGTCCAGGCCTGGAGGCTCCTTGCAATGCTGAAGGCAGACTCCTGTCTTGTTTTCCCACAACATTTTGGTGTTCTGCTCCTGATCTCTGCCTGTGCCCCATAACTGCCCTTGCAAAGGGGATCAGCCCACATGTGTCCCTTGCAGCTGGAAGGGGCAAGAAACTGCCTGGCCAAGGGAGTTTCAGCTGCACATCCATGGACGTGTCCATCCCTTCTGCCTGGCCTGTGTGGGATGAGGTGGGGCAGGCAGATGTCCCTCCCATCCCAGGATGTCACTGCCAGAGGGACCCAGCCAAAGGCAAATAGTGTTTGCAAAGTCACACAAGTGCTGGTGTTGCTCAGAGATGCCTCATGGAAGAAGGTGGACCTGGTTGCCCTGGTGCTTCCCTCCAGTACTTTTGCAGCTGAACCAGAGACTTGTCCTTCTCCCTACCTCCCCTGCCCCTACAAGCAGTGACCCCTCTCATTTAGTGATACAGGGAGGGTGGGCTGGCCCTGGCCATGGCCCTGTTTTGGGGGTTGCATGGAGCTGAGCACCCTGTGCTGGGCCCCATTTCCCTCTCGTCCTTCCCCCTGAGCCCTTTGCCCAGTGTTATGCAGGCCCTGATCCTGCTCTGGGAGCTCCCCCAGCAGGGATGCAGGATGCTCTCTCAGGGCTGGCTTTTAGGGTGCCATGGGCAGAGGGCTCAAATACTTGTGCTGGGGCCATTGTATGAGCTTGGGCTGTGCCTTGAGCAACCACTGCGGTGAGAAATGTGGTGTGGGACTCTGCTGCTGCCCCTGGATCTGAGCTTGCTTTTTGGGCTTTGGAAACGACTTGGTTTTCTCTGTGCATTTTTTTTTTTCTAATAAAAGTTGCTCTTTCTAAAACACTCCTGGTCACCTGTCCTCCTGGGCTGGGATGGAGAACTATTCACTTCCCTTCTCCTGACAAGGGGAAAATAGGGAAAAAACCTGAAACGAAAGTGTCCTGAGAGGGTAAAAGCAGCCTGAGAGTCTTCCCTTCTCATTAGAGCATCTCGAGCTCAGTGCAGGGGCTGAGTGAGCCGGGGCCGGGGGTTCCAAGGAGGGTCTGCTCCTCCACTTGTGGCAGCGCTGCCTTATCAGCATCCCCGGCCCCGGGTGACAGCTGGCCTGGCTTGTGTCAGCCCCTCGGGCACTCACGTATCTCGGTGCGGAGGGTTTAAAATAGCAAATCTCTGAGGCCACACAATAGCTTGGGCTTATATGGGCTCCTGGGGAGGAAGGGGGAGCGGCGGAGGGGGCCGGGGCCGCGGCTGCCGAAATAGCAGCTCACAAGTGTTGCATTCCTCGCTGGGCGCCGGGCACATTCCTCCCGGCGCTGCCCGCCCCGGGGTGGGCGCTGGAGCCCCCTTAAAGCCTCCTGCCCCCCCAAGAGCATTTCCCAGACACCCGCCGGCTTCCCCTCGGCTCCCCGGGACCTCCCGCGGCACAGGTAAGGCTGGGGCAGCCCGCTCCTGGTGTGGATGCTCAGTGGAAGGCAGCACTTACAGACCCAGAAGTGATTCGGCTCAGGGTTCATGATCCTCCCCAGCCCCTGGCTCTGGGCTGTGCTTTTGCCATGAAGGCATTCCCATGGAAAAAGCATCAGGACCATCTCCAGCCCGCTGTATTTGCAGTTTGTCCAATGCCTTTTGAACCACCCTGATGTGTGCCAAGGTGGCTGAGATGGATCTTGGCTGCCCTGGTTCTGGGGGAATCTCACAGATCCCTGATCCCTGTGTCTCTGGAGAGAACAGAAGGGATGTGATGCCTGGGGGAGGGTTAGGCCAGCCTGGCCCTGGCTTGCTGGCAGCCCGTGGGGTGGGATAGGGGTGGGATGCTCCTGGGCATGGTCTGATCCTGCCAGGCAGGACTGGAGCAGTGACATGACCCACACTGGAGAAACGGTGGGAAATGGGAGCTCCATGTCTGGGCAGCCTGGGGGAAGGGAGAGACCATGAACCACGGATTAACTCAGCCCCACAGGTGTGACCAGCCAGCCCTGAGCTGAAGGAGAGGGTGATTTTAAGGAGTGGGAGGAATATCTGGGTTGTTTAATACACAGCAAATTATATGAGATTTTTTGCAGTCAATAATATGTGCAATGTTTCCTCTTTAACTCTGTACTATATCTACTGGTTCTCCTAATTCTATCAAAACAGAATTTCAAGCTTTAATGGAAAAGTTTATCTGTTTCTGTGCAGAGGATGGATAAATACTCCCCAGAGCCACTTTTTTCTTGTGTACCCCCTTAACACTCCTGGGTTTGGTGCTGTTCCCTCTGCTCTGTGGGATCTAGTGATGTATGAGATAGGAGGGGGATGGAAATGTAGGAATAAACTTTCACGTGTTTGCACTGTCATGGCCAGGAGGGGCCCTCCACTCCCGTGTCATGAGAGGATGATATGAAGCCTTGTGCTTAGAGGCTTAGAGGCCACATAAAAGATTTGGCCAAACTTGAGGTTTCAGAACCATGCTGAGCTTGGGGGAAAAGCAGGACCACGAATTGATATTTGAGGGGAAGTGGAAATTGAGGGGATGGTGCTGGGGGGGTTGCTGAGGGCCAGGCCCCACATCCGTCAGAAGAAAGAGAACAGCAACGTCAGAAGCAGGAGGTGATCCCGAGGCAGACAGGGCCCAGTCCTGACTTCGTGTGTCTCCAAAAGCCCCTTGTGAGTCATTGCCCAGAAGTGAGATTTGACAACCCCTGGAGCTGTGGGTGTGCCCAGACACCCCTCCTGTAATGCCTTTCCCATGCCTGAGGAATCCAGCTCTGGATTCAGCATCTTGAATAAGCAACCCTGAAGCCTGTCCTACCCATCCTGGGTAATAAAATGCTCAACAGATGTAGCCAGGACCAGTTGTTCCCAGAGTCTGGGCAGCAGGAGAAGTGAAGCACTGTTGCTCTGGGAACAGGTGGTTTAGCACATGAAAGTTATTTCTAGAGCTGCTTTGCGTTGTCCTGAGGCATCTCAGCTCTGCTGAGGTCTGGCACGATCATGAGCAGTGCACAGGCTGGGCAGGGGATGGGGCTGATGCTCTGGGCTGCCCCAGGATGCCCAGGGATGCAGCTGGTCAGTGCAGACCTCACAGTGGAGTGTTGGGTGAAGGTTAGATGAGGTGGGACGATGAGCAAAGTCCTCCTGACCACAGCTGGGAGGGAAACAGATGTGCTGGGAACATAAGCATGGCCAATGCTGCAGAGTTTTTAGCCCTGTTGCTAAACCGGGCTGTGAAATATCCCTTTTAGCTGCCCTCAGGCCCAGAGCCAGCACCAGGGGAGAAATGCTCCTGCTGAGCCCAGGTTGCCTCTTTCCAGAGCACTTGGAGGGCTGGGCTGGGAGATCTCCCTGAGGCCTCGTGCTGTGCCTTGTGCAGGGCTGTAAATCCAAGATAACAGGTCGTCCCTGAAAGCTTCAACTGAGCTAATAGGAAACAAAACAAGCTGATCATTATAGTGGGGTGATTTTCCTGCCCCCTGAGCAAACACAGCCCCCTGAGAGGGCTGAGGAGAGGGGAGCTGTGCCCTGGACATGGCTCCTGACAGAGTTATCAGTGCTGCATGAGGCTGTGTCTAATCTCCTGCCTCCTATTTGAGGCGAGCTGTGATCCTGGGACAGGAGGGGAGGGGGGAGCCTTATCTCTGCTAAGATAACACTGTCACAGCCCAGCTGGGGACAGCTCCAAGCTCCAAGTCCTTTGGAGAGATGCAACATCTCTGTGCCCATGTCCCAGCGCTGGAGGACGGGCTGTGCTTGTCCTTATCTCAACTCCTAACCCTCACTTTTTCCAATCTGCCTTGAACTCTGCCAGATAACCAGGCATGTCGGACACTGAAGAGGTCACTGAAGAATGTGAGCAGTAAGTGGTGTGTTTTTAAACACACTTTCTTTCCCCCTATTCCCACTTTCCCAGAGTTGTAGTGTTGCTCAGAGGTGCCATTCAGAGGGCACTGGCTCTTGTCATCACCCCAGCACCCAGCATGAACCCCCCCAACCTGTGCCCACCTGCACCACTGCCCTGGCAGTGCCAGACCCCCAGCAATGAGGAGTTTTGGGTTAGGAGCTGTATCCACACACATGGATGGGACAAGGGATGGTTCATATATTAAAAAGGCTGCAGTGTAAATCAGTGAGATAGAGCTGGGAAAACCTGATGCCACCAGTCTGTTGCTGATGGGGTCCTGCTCCCACACCCAGACCATCAATCCCCAAGGCCCAAATTTGAGAGAAATTTTTGCTGGTGAGGGTTCCTGGGCCCTGAGGCTTGTTCTGGAGAGATGGGATTCAACATCTGCACTACACAGTTACAGGGATCAGTGTGAACACAGCTCCTGCTTCTCATCCACCAGCTGAAAAAGCAGATTTGCATCCTTCTCTTCTGTTTCAATGCCACGACAAACTCGAATGTGTCAGCAACCTGTCCCCTGGGTACACCTGAGGACAGGCTGTGCATCTTCCCCAAGGTCAGAGAAGGACTTTGGGGCAAAGGTGGGATGTGAGATGAGTGTTTCTGGGATTACAGGCCACGGTCACTCAATCTTCTCAAGCTGCAAACTGGTGGTGTGCTCTGACCACTGTCAAAGTGTCAGCCCTGCTGTCCACAGCCTGCAGAGTGACCTGGGTCTTGTCCCTGTCCCCATTGCCACCTCAAAGCCACCCACACAACAGTCCTTGCCCATTGCTACGAGAAAGGGGAGGCATCCTCGAGGAAATTCCAAGTTCCCCTCCCAATGGATCCACGTGCCCCGTTACAGCAGGTTGGTGTAACTCCAGATATTTGTGTTGTGCTTTGCAGGGAGCAGGAAGGTAAGAGGACGTGGAGCATCTGCAGCTGCCCCTGGAGCACCTGCAGCTGCCCTGAGGCCAAAAAGTGATCAGAGAAACTTCAATAACCTGCGTCTTCTTTCCCTTCTCTCTCTCCCGTGCCTGTGTGTGCTCTGTGAAGAGGAGTACGTAGAAGAAGGTAGGTGTTTACCTGCAAGGACCAAGAGACAAGTGCTGTGGGTTAATGTTTTGCTTAAGGGGATGTGGGGGTCAACTCCTTGGCTGCAATGGCCAAATCATGCCCAGGAAAGGCATGTTCGAGATTTCTCCACCTGAAACATCAGTAGGATCAAAACCAGACTGAATTTTCCCAGGATCTCTTTTGTCAGAGCGAACCCTTGACTAAAAACAGGGGTGGAAATGCTGGACACGGGTGTCGGCAGAGGTGTGAACCCAATAACCCAACAGGAGCTGGAACTTCAGCTGGATGTGTGTTAGTGATGCTCAACCACAAACCTCTGTCTGCCTCAGCTCGATGAAGACACAAACTCCCCTGTGCACGGAGCTGCTCTGGGGCACAGCTGAGCTGGGCTTTTGGGCTGGGCTGGGGAGCTGGGCTTTGCTGAGCCTCTTGCTGCTTCAGGGCACTGCCAGGCAAAACATCCTGAGCATTAAGAGCAAAAAGAGGCACAAAGGGGAAACCACTGCAGTGTTTTAGTCCTTGTCTAATGCACACCAGAGCTCCACAGCTTCATGGCCTCCAACTAACTCTGTGCTTATTCCTTTCCCTCCTCCCTGGCCCAGAAGAGGAAGAATGGATAGAGGAAGAAGACGGTAGTTATTGAACCTTTCTTTATTTCATCTCTCCACTCTTGCTGTGAATATGTCGTGGGTCATGTGTCTTTTGCCTCTCCCTGTCTAGGAAATGGTTTTCTTTCATTCTTCCACTTCTCTCTCTTGCTCCTTGCACTCTCCTCTCCTGCCGTGCTGTGCTGTGTGTGGATCTGCTCCTGTGTCTGTGGCTTCTCTCTTACATCTGCCGATCAAATGCACTCATGGTTTGCTCCCTTTACTTTCTTCTTTCTCTTTCCTTCTGTCTTGCTGTGGGACCACAAGTCTTCCCAAGCCCTGCGGGCCCCAGCATTGCTCTGACTCCAATGGAAGACTCTTGTGGGGACACTGCTCCCTCCAGTGGAAAAATGCTCCAACAGTGTCACAAATCAGATTGTGAAGGTGCCGAAGGCACGTTCTCTAGTGCCAGCCAGCCCTGGGCTTCGCTGGCTAGAGGAGAGTGATAGAAATCACTCCCCCCTTCCTGGGGTGTAAGGGAACGATAGCATGAGAGGGAAGGAGGGACAAGCCAGGAAGTGGCTATAAATCCTTTAATTTCATTAATTTATTTTTTTTTCCCTGCCTGAGGACAGAGCAGCCCTTGGGTAAAGTTTAGAGCAAAATCTTCTGCTTTCTGAGCCTCTGTTTCTCTCTCTTGTGGCTGCGTCTCCTCTGGTCTCTCTCAGTCAGCTCCGTGCCACAGTTGTCCCGACACCAGGATGTGCAGGGAGCCAGAGGGAACGGTGCTGTTGGACTCACACTGCCCCTTATCCCACAGGTCAGGAAGAACAGGGAGAGGAGGTGGAGGAGGTGACCAGTGAAACCAAGGCAGAAGGTGAGTGGTGGCTTTGCCAGCGTGGATTGGCAGGAGCCACGCTCTGCTCCAGTGCAGTGCCAGGCAGGGGCTGAGATGTCCCAGGATTTCCTGTGACAGGGGTCAGTAGAACAGAGGGGCAGCTCTCCCCCAGATCTGTGGTGTCCAGTGAGGGGAGTATCAAAGCCGAGATGCCCTTTCCTGATCTGCCTTGGCCCTGCAAACACGAAGATGTTTGTGTTTTCTGCTGGTTGCTGATCAGTTTGTGTCCAGCCCTCTGAAATAATGCCAAAAATGAGTCAAGCCAGTTCCATCATGGGGTCCCCACAGGTGGGGTTTCCAGAGCAGGGGTCATGCTCTGATGTCTCTCACCATCTAAAGAGCGCTGGTGTTCATGGGACAGCTTTGGAACATTTGGGGTGGCCTGATGTGTGACCCCATGCTGTTAGAGCTGGTTGAGGGGCTCAGATCTCAGCTATGTCCCCCCAGGTTTGAGTGCTGGGACCCCTCTGTGGTTGTCCTAATTCATATTCTCCCCATTTCTTTTAAAACAGAGCAAGAGGATGAAACAAAGGCATCAGGAGAAGGTAAAGCAGGAGCAGAGGAGAGATGGTTTTGGCCATTTCAGTCTTGACCCCAGTCCCTCAAGACACTGGGCCCTTGGAACAGTATTTTTGGTGTTGAATTAATTTCTGCCAAAGGGAGAGAATCTGTGGTAAACAGGGCAGAGCTGCCCTGGCCTTGTCCTGCAGCAGGGCAGGGGCAGCAGGATGGGTGGCTGTGTGCTGCCTAGGAAAGAAATTCACCCAAAATCAGAGAACCAGAGAATCACAAAATTATTTGGGTTGGAAAAGACCTTAAAGACCATCCTGTTCCAATCCCTGCCCTGGGCAGGGACACCTTCCACTAGACCAGGCTGCTCCAAACCCTGTCCAACCTGGCCATGAACACTTCCAGGGATGGGGCAGCCACAGCTTCTCTGGGCACCCTAGAAGGGTTGAAGTACAGTTTTGAAGTATAAAATACAAAAGGAGAGGGTGGCACTGCTGGTTTTTGGACAGTGCTCTCAGGGACATGGTGGGATTGTTGGGGTGTCCTGTGCAGGGCCAGGAGTTGGACTCGATGATCCTGATATTTCCCTTCCAGCTCAACGTATTCTATGATTCTATGGCTCTGTGTTTTCCACAGGTGGAGAGGGGGACAGAGAGCAGGAGCCTGGGGAAGGTGAAGTATCACCCTCATTCCTTTCACCTGTGTAAGGAGGCAGCAAAAACTGCTCTGCCCAGCCAGGAGCACCAAAGTATGTCTCGGGTTTTGGCACGTGGATGGACACCTCATTGCTGGAGGATGATCCACAGGGCAGCCTGTGCTGCTGGGAGGGAGGGGGAGCTCGGCTCAGGGTGGTGGGTTTGGGTCAATGTGTGAAGGAAATGCCTCTGTGACCCTGACCTTGTCTTTCTGTCCTGCTCCTGGGGACCTGCAGGTGAATCCAAGCCAAAACCCAAGTAAGTGTCAGAGTGTTTTTTCTGGGGAAAGGTCTGAGCTGGGAGCTGTGCCAGGGCAGAGGCTCCATGTGATGGGCTTAGCACCCTGATCCATAAAGGGCATGGGACAGTGAGGCCTCCAGAGCATGGAACCACAGTGGGACTGGGAGATGGAGAGAAAAAGGGAGAGAAGCAGACAGGTAAACATGGAGCATGAGGGGATCCTGAGAATGAAGTCTTTGGGCAGTTTTGAAGCATTTTTTGTGCTCCCTGGGAGAAGTTCAGTTGCCCTGTGGCCCTGTAGCTGGAAGAAAATCTGTGCACTCCAGCCTGGGATAGAGAGTCCATGGCACAGCCAGGGTCTGGCTTCTGCAGTGTGCTCCTGGCCACAGCATGAGTGCCAGCATCCCAGGGACAGAGCACCTGCCCGAAGGAGAGGGGCTGGGAACCACAGCCAGGAACCTGTGAGTCCTCATGGAGCCCCAGAATGCTGTGGTGTGGGAGGCAGATCTGTTCTCAGCCATCATCTCTCCATCCCTTTGTGTCTCTGCGTGCCCCTACTGAGCATCTCCTGCCCTCCCTCAAGCCCACAGAGAGGATGGTCTCCGTCTCCCTGTGCCAGGTCACACTGGAGCTCGTGGTTCCTCTGTGCCCTTTTGGGTGAGCAGTGGGTTGGCTGCCAGCCCCAGGGTGCTGGCAAAGGGTCGTGGCCACGTTGTCTGCGGCTTGCACAGTTATTCCAGCCATGTGGGAGCCTTGGAGTGCTTCCCGGGAATGCCACAGGTCTTCCTCCAAGGCTGTCCAGCTGGCAACTGCCAGCAAGAAGTATCACACTTCCCTGACCCACAACTGTGCTCACTCTTCACCCCTGGGGACTGCAAGGCTCAGGGAGGAGGGCTGGGTGGATCAGTGGATGGACGAAAGGCATCATCCTGCCCCAGATACCTGCTGTAGGCCCACCATCCTCCTGCTCACCTTCCACTGCAGGGTCTTCATGCCAAACCTGGTGCCTCCCAAAATCCCAGATGGCGAGAGGCTGGATTTTGACGTAAGTTGTCCCCTCAATTCCCACTCCCATGGGGTGATCCTCTCACGTTGCTCCCCTCACAGTGCCCGGCAGCTCCCCAGCTCCTGGAGGCTCCGCTCATGGGAGTGTTCCTGTTTCTATCCTGTGCAGGACATTCACCGCAAGCGCATGGAGAAGGACCTGAACGAACTGCAGGCCCTCATTGAAGCCCACTTTGAGAGCAGGAAGAAGGAGGAAGAGGAGCTCCTGTCCCTCAAGGACAGGATTGTACGTCTTCAGCCTTCCCCCTCCACCACTATAGCCACCCCCTCCCCTGTGGGCACATGGCCACCATCCTGCCCTCACAGTCCTGACAACAAGATCCCTGCAGGACAGAGCCTGAGATTTGAGCCAGATTTTGTACCTCAGTGCCAGGAATTATAGAATCATAGAATCTCCTGAGCTGGAAGACACCTACGACGACCACTGAAGTCGAATCCCTGGCCCTGCACAGGACACCCCAACAATCCCACCCTGTCCCTGAGAGTGTTGCCCAAATGCTCCTTGAGCTCTGGCAGCCTTGGGGCTGTGCCCACTGCCCTGGGGAGCCTGGGCAGTGCCCGGCCAGCCTCTGGGGGAAGAACCTTTTCCTGAGATACAACCTAAACCTCCCCTGACACAGCTCCAGCCATTCCCTCAGGTCCTGTCACTGGGAAGCCCCTTGGTCCCTCTGCTGCGGTGCCTCATGACGATGCACTTTGCTCGTGGTCACTGTCCACACATTCCCTTGGGAGATGTGGGAGCAGCAGATCCACCCTTGGGGCTCTCAGGGCTGTGAGAATCAGGGATCTGTCCACAGGGACAGAGAGGATGCAGATTCCCCGGGGTGTCCAAGCCAACGTCCTCTCCTTCTGCAGGAAAAGCGGCGAGCGGAGAGGGCGGAGCAGCAGCGGATCCGCAGCGAGAGGGAGAAGGAGCGCCAGGCCCGGATGGCCGTGAGTGTCCCTTGGGAACGGGGGGGCTCAGGATGGGCTGGGGGGCCCTGGGACCATGAGCTGTGTGCTGGGGGTAAGACAGCCCGTGATGTGCCCGTCCATCTGCTCCTGACCCACTCCTGACCTTGGCAGGAAGAAAGAGCCCGCAAAGAGGAAGAGGAGGCTCGGAAGAGGGCTGAGGAGGAGGACAGGAAGAAGAAAGCTCTCTCCAACATGCTGCATTTTGGAGGCTACATGCAGAAGGTGTGTAATCCTACCCCAGGCGGTGCCAGTGAAGCTGCTGGTGCTCCTGGGAAGGGCTTCACCACGGGCTGACCTCACCCAGTATTGATAGACTGTGGTTTCTAAAAGCAGAAGTCAGGTCACCGTTTTTGGGTCACAGCAGAGGTTACAGGGCCAAAGTGAGCTCAGAGCTGCTGTGAGCTCAGCTCTGCTGTGCAGATGCTGGCCAGGGCAGCTCCAGCCTTGCCTCAGGGACAGGGATGGGGATGGAAACAGAGGTGCCTTGTCCACTATTGCCAAAATTTCCTTAAAGACCTCATGTGCTTCTGGAACCCCAAAAGCTGAGGGTCTTGGTGGCAAAACTTTGGATGGAGTAGAGCAAAGGCTGGGCAGATTTCCTATTTCCTTTCCTCCAATGAACTGATGGTTTCCTCAGTCAGAGAAAAAGGGTGGGAAGAAGCAAACAGAGCGGGAAAAGAAGAAGAAGATTCTCAGTGAACGGCGGAAGCCCCTGAACATCGACCACCTCAGTGAAGACAAGCTGAGGTGAGCACAGGCTGCAGGAGAGATGTCCAGGGTAGGAGCTCAGTGTTGGGTCTCACCTCCTGGGGCAGGATCCTGGGTTGCAGAGGGATGTCTGTAGCACGATCCTGGCTGTGAAGGGATGTCTGTGGCAGGATCCCAGACTGGGAAGGGATGTCTGGGGCTGGATCCCATTCTTGGAAGGAATGTCTGGGGCTTGCAGCCCAGACAAGAGGGTGATGGCACAGATGGCACAGATGGAGATGGGCTCTGACACCCCTCTGGGGACATGGCTCCATGGCTCTGCCGGGTCACCACAGCCAGGCTGCGGCTGGTGGCACCAGCCATCAGAGGGAGCCAGGCTCACACACGTGGGACATGTGTGTCCCAAGGGAGCCAGGCTCACACACGTGGGACATGTGTGTCCCAAGGGAGCCAGGCTCACATGGGTGGGACATATGTCCTGAGGGACCCACTCTCACATGTGTGTGACCTGCATGTCCCCATATGCACCGACCTCCACCGTGGCTCTGGTCCATGTGTGGGACTGGCATCACCACCTGGGTAACACATTCCTGTCTGGACAAGCAGCCTCCATCCCCTGCACTGAGCTCCCTGGGAGCCATGTCCCTTTCCTGCACTGTCATCAGCTGGCTCTTCCCACAGGGAGAAGGCCAAGGAGCTGTGGCAAAACATCCGTGACCTGGAGGCTGAGAAATTTGACCTGCAGGAAAAATTCAAGCGGCAGAAATATGAGGTGAGCCACCAGGTCCTCTGTGACTTGTTCACCCTCCGTGTTCCTGGCTGCTCCTTCTGCTCCCCATCTGGGAGACGAGGTGGGTTGTCCAACTGGCCTCCCAGCTCCTGCTTGGCACTGCAAGAGGCTTCCTGCTCTGCTGCACAGCACAGCCCTGTTCAAGGCCAGGTTGGATGGGGCCTGGAGCAACCTGGTCTAGTAGAAGATGTCCCTGCCCATGGCAGGGGGTGGGATGAGATGAGCTTTAAGGTTCCTTCCAACTCAAACCATTCTGGGATTCTGTTATTCTAAACCCCACACAAGAACTGCTGGGAAAAAATAGAGCAGTGATGCATCTTCAGCTCGACCCTTGTCCCCAGCCAGGCGTGGGGCATCTTGCCAGACCTCATCATCCACCTGCGTTTTTTCTTGCAGATCAACGTACTCCGAAACCGTGTCAGTGACCACCAGAAAGTGTAAGTCCCTGGGCAGGCTACACCTCCCTTTTGAACATCTCCTGTCCTTCCAGCTCCCTGTGGTCCTGTCCCTCTGTATCTCCCCACTCTCTCGCACCCTCGCTGAGCCACCTCCTCTTCCTCCCACCCCTGCCTCTGCTCCTACTGGTGCCCAGTGTTCACAGACCTGCAGGTCTGGCCCAGAGATATCAGTCTCTGCTCTTCTGCTCCCACTGACAGACCCCCATGACTTACTAACACCACCAGCTTCCCCCTGTCCCAGAGACCCTGGCTGGGGATGGGCTCTGGGGAGACCCCACCTCTGCATGGGGAGCCTTGTGTCCTGTGAGGTCCTTCCAGCAACTCCCATCCCTGCAAGGGCTCTGCCCAGCATCCCAGGAAAGTGCTGGAGATCCCAGCTGCTCTAGGAGGGGAAATCTCATGGGCTATGGGAGCTGTGCAGCCCTGCAAGGGCAGGGGAGCCCGTCCCCATGTCCACATTCCCTGCACATGACTGGGGGACCCTTTGTAGGAGGGTGGAAGAGGGTGTTTAACCCCCACTCCCAGGAGCACCATGCTGCTCTCACATCCCCATCCCAACCCTTCTGTCTCACATGGGAGATGCTCAGCCCACCCCGTGTCAGGTGCAGCATCTCCCACCCACTTACACCAGCCCTCTCTTCTCTTCTGCCCCAACACGGCCTGTTCCTGCAGCAAAGGGTGAGTACAGGTGTTTCTGAGCATTGTGTGTCTCCCACTGCACGTGTGCTGCATGGACACTGGGACAGCAGGGAAGCAGCAGGGCTGAGGGACAAGGCAATGCCAAGAATTGGCAGCCAAAGCCAGAAATGCCCTTCACTTTCCACCCAAGTCTCCTCCTCCTCCTCCTCCTTCTCCTCTCTGCTGACTTGTGCCCGAAGCAGTGCCTGTCCCCCTAAGCTGGTTAAGGAGAGTGATGTGGTGGGTCCTGAAGGATTCTGCAGGAATCCCTCTGCAGCCAGAGATCCAACTCATCAGTTCTTCTCCAAAGGATCCTTAGATGGGGAGGGAATTGGGGCTCCTTAGAAACGCCTGGCAAATGCATGAGCTTGTTCCTACAGAGCCCCAAAACACTTGACTCAGGTCCCAGGGTTTTACCTGGGGCCACTGAAGCCCTTCACCCCCGTAGGGCAGTGAACATCAGTCGGAGGTATCTCACTCCTTTGCAGGACTGCTGACAGCACCCACCTCACCCCTCCTGTCATGATCACTAATGCCCTACTGCACGTGCTTTTCTGCTTCCCTTCCAGGTCAAAGGGTGCCCGTGGGAAGACCATGGTGGGCGGCAGGTGGAAATAGCTGAATCAGGAGGCACAAGAGGCTGAGCCACAGGGAGGGGCATTGCCTTAGGGCTGCACCACGTGCCCACCTGCCCTTCCACTGCATGAGGCCCTGGCTCATGCACAGGGCGGGCTGGGGGGGCAGATGCTTCACCAGGTGCCATTTCTCATCTCCACATCCCCAGCTGGTGTTGTGTCTGTAAATAAAGAGAGCAGTGAGGGGGTGTGGGTGTTGTCTCTATCCCGACGCTCTGAGCCCAGAGGGAACAGGCACAGGACAGTCTCAGCAGAGCTCAACATAACCAGCACGGTTGCACACCTGCTCCAACCACCCAGGACCTCCTGAATAACATTACCACAGAATATTCTGAGTTGGAAGGGACCCACAAGGATCATCAAGTCCAGCTCTTGAGTGAATGGCCCATATGGGGATCGAATCCACAGTCCTGGAGTTATTAGCACTTTAGTTCCTGCTTTTGCTGTACCTGAGCTCCTCTCTGGTCATCTCTCTCTCCCACAGTGCCTTGTGGGGGCACTGCTCCCAAGTCTCTTGGTCCATGGAATAGTCACAAACTCACCCTCCAGGCCATTCTTATTCCTATTTCCGCTACTTGTTACAGGGCCCAGACCAACTGGGTTTGCCTCCTCTGCATGTTTCTGACAACATCCAGTGAAGCCTTGAGATAAGTCACTGTGGAGAGGCCATTTATCTGTGCCTTAGGGGTGTAGATCTCTTCCATCTGGCTGTGGGCATCTCTGTAGCACGTTCACACGTGCAGTGCCCGAAGTGGCACATATCTGGATAACCCCAAATGCTCCTGGTGGATCTGGACTGTAAGCCAGCTGAAGACACCAGCCTTGCCTGCCCATCTCACAGGGCAAACTGGCCCATGGTGTTGATAAACAGCATTCATTAAGCATTTCCCAGAGCAGTGAGGAGGGGAGGGATGCACAGGGTGGTGGATCTTCAAAGGCTTCTTGTCCCTTGGCAAGATATTTTGTCTCCCCCCTTGCTGGGGCTGCCTGTCCTCCCCTTCCCCTCCCCAGTGATATGGGGCTATCCTGCAGGTTGAGCTCCTGTTGGAGGATGATTTATTTTGCCTAATTCAACACAACCATCAGGTTTTGGGGAACAAGGCTCTGGGAGGCCTCACACTCGGTGAGGCAGCAAATGGAGAACAACCAGCTCCCTGTTGCCCACTTCCTCAGAAATGGGGTGTGAAGGGCTGAGCGTGATCCCTTACTGGGACAGAAGGGGAGAGCTGGGGAGGGTGGCAGTGCTGGGACATGAAATGTCCGGAGGGTGGCTGAGTGATGGTCCAGCAAGTGACATTTCCACCCTGCCTGACACACGGCAACAGGAGAGAGGAGCACTCGGGACAGACAGCGGCGTCTGGTTTGGAAAGAAAACATCTCATTTTCCCAGGCTCGGAAGGTCCATTCCCCAAACTTTTCCGGCAGGTAAAGGCTGGTGCCGGTGCCCGGTGCCGCACAGCGGCACTGCAGCCGCTCTGCCCGTCCCTGCGGGGCTGGCAGCGCCCAGGGCGGGGGCACCCGGGCACTCCCTGCTTCCCACAGCGCTGCCTGTCTCGGCAGCTCCTGGCTCCTCTCCAGCCCTGCTCCCTGCGCGCCGGGGCCGAAACCTGCGCGCTCCCTCCCCGCCCGGCACCTCCCGCCCGGTGCGGTGGCACAGCCGTGCCAGCGCCGCTGAGTCAGCGCCCAGCCCCGACACCGACCCTCCCCTGCGCCCCCTCCCTCCCGTGCCCGTGGATTCCCACCCTGAGCGGGCACGGCAGAGCGTGGGCAGGGCGCAGCGATCCTCTGGGACGCGGCAGAGCACGCTGGGGGCTTCCCCGGGGTCTTCCAGGTGCTGGCATCGCCCCCAGCGTTGCGTGGGCTGTGTGACGATGGCACTGGTGCAGTGGGTTGTGCCAGGGATCGCTGGAGCGTGGCTCGGGTGCTGTGTGCTGGGGAGCAGCTCTGCTTTGTCACCCCTCCTCGGGGTCTGCAGCTTTCTCCCGAGGGGCAGCACCGGTCCCTGCTCTCTGTGATCAGCGACAGGACCCGAGGGAACGGCTGAAGCTGTGTTAGGGGAGGGTTGGGCTGGATATTAGAAAAAGGTTCTTCCCTCAAAGGTTGGTTGGGCACTGACCAGGCTCCCCAGGGTAGTGGTCACAGCACCAAGGCTGCCAGAGCTCAAGAAGTGTTTGGACAGTGCTCTCAGGCACGTGGTGAGATTGTTGGGGTGTCCTGTGCAGGGCCAGGAATTGGACTCAATGATCCCTGTGGGTCCCTTCCAACTCAGGATATTCTGTGATTTTATGATCCTGTGATCCAGTCCAACCTGCCTGGTCAAGCAGGGTCCCCATGAGATGTTGGGGGAAGCAATGCTCCAACAGGCACAACACTCCCCACTGCAGGATGGGGGACCTGAGTCCTTTAGGGCTGGAGAGGGGGTGCAGCACAGGATAATGCATCCCCACACTCCTAAACCCATGGTGGGTCGTGGGTGGCACACAGGGTCCCCCACTGCCCAGGCACAGCCCACCATGGGGTCTGTGTTTTGGGTGACATCCAGGGTGTCCAGGGCAGCACAGCTCTGTGGAGCACAGAGTGGGTGGTACTGGATGCCAACCCTGTGGGCACTGCCCATCCTTGGAAGTGTGCTGTGGGATTCACCACTCCCACCATCCATGAACTCAGACACATGGTGGCCACACCACACTGATCCACTGTCCCCAGGTAAAGTAGGGGGTGCCCAGCCTCCAGCTCAAGATAAGGCCAAACACCAGCAAAAGAATTGTAGAAAATGAAGCAGTACAACCCCTGATTTCTTGCAGGTCAGGGCCAACAACAACCTGTAGTTTAAAAGACTGAAAAAAGATGTAAATGCTGAATTTTGAAACACCTTCCAGACGTGGAGCTCTCACTTTCAGAGTTCCCAGCCATCATGTTGCTGTGCCATGGCCCTCCCCAGCACACTCCCTGCAGGCCAGGCCCATTTGTGCAAGTACCTGACGTTTGCAAGTTTCTTATGATTATTTTTAAATGCCTTATAAAACACCAAGTTTCGTGGAATGCCTTAGCCCCGTAAAGCACTGCCCATAGCAACTCATTCATAGGTATCAATTAATGGCCTTTAATTGGTTGAAGTCAGCCGTGGTTTCTGCTGATTCCACAGCTGTGTTAAGTCATCAATGAAGTCTTTAATGCACCGCAAATATGGTTTAACATCCACACAATGACCCACGTCCACGAGACAAGTCCCGCTGACACAGCACCCAACGATGATCTGGGATGGAAAGGAAGAGGCTTTGGCTGCTGTCTGGAAGTAGCATTTTACTGGCACTTAGTGGAAGGAAAAGAAGCTTCCTGGTGATGTCTGAATCACTGTGTTTGCATGTGCTCTCATGCCTCGGTTTCAGTGCAAGGCCCAAGTGTAAACTCTGCTCCTTGGTGCAGGGCAGCCACCACTGGCAGAGCACGGAGGGGTTGAGTCATAACAGGAGCTGGGATCTGCCCTTTGCCCAGCATTGGATCCATAAGGTACATGACTGGTAGAGGTGGTGCCTGCCCTGGTGTGGAGCTGAGCACCAAAGCTGCAGTGATGCTGCAGAGGTGGCTCTGGCAGTCCCAGGCCAAGAGACAGCACAGATCTAGGGAGGTTTGGAGCACTGGAGGGAATTGGTCCCCAGTTGCACAGATCCTGACCCATCTCCCCTCCCGAAGGCACTTGGAGACCAGGCTCACCCCAGTTTAGCTGCAGCAAACAGTGAGCTGTGAGAAAAGAGCCAGAGCCTCTAGCAGCATCTGTCTTGGTATCACCTCTGACAAACCCCTCAGAGCCAGGTCTCAGAGCCCACGTTCACAGTTCTGAGGCCAAATATCACCAGAGCATTCCTGCCTCTGCTACTGCCTGACACAGCCCTGCTGCCCAGGGAGGAAGGGGGCTGGGAGCTCCCTTGCATACACACACATGTGCAGAGTCCCAGACACGTGCACAGGCACAGACAGTCACAGGTACCTCCATGCACACCCACACAGAGCTCCCAGAGCCAGACACCTCCAGAGGAAGGTGGAACAGCAGCGGTGGGTACAGAGCAGTTGTGCCCCTGGCACCCCCAAGGCACTGCTGGTGGCTGGGCTGTCCCAGGACAGGGGTGGCCAGGGACAGGGGATGTGTTTTAGGGTGTCATTCATTTCCAGTCACCTGAGCCTGTGCTGGGCAGGGGAAGCTGAGGGCTCGGGAGCTGTGCTGAGCTGGCCCAGGGGAGCACTGGGCAAGATGTGTCAGAGATGCAGGTGGGGGAGGCTGGTATGGAGGGGATGTGGATGCAATGCTGAGTTTTAGTTTTATTCCCTCTGATCCTCTCAGGTTCCAAGCCTGTTGATGGCCAAAGACCCCTCCATGAGTACATTTAATGAAGGATGTGATTTGGTTCACAAAGCCCTGTCACCTCTGCCAAGTGCAATGTCCTGCACGCTGTACTCTGCCTCCATGAACCCCCACACAGCATGTGCCCTGTCCCACATGAGCTCCAATTTGGGTCTGTTGGAATCTGAAAGAGATGGAAATGCCCAGGTGTGAACTCTCAGGCTTTGCCTTTAGACCCCGCATGACCCAAGCCTGGAAAAATCCTCATTACCCTGCAAGTCCCTTTGTATTTCCCGTGGGAAATAAATATACAAGAAGCTGGGCTGCTGCAGATGACTGAAGTGCATCACCAGACCCAGGAGTGCCTGACCCGTGCCCTGAGATGCCACCACACCTCCCTCATCCCTGCCTGCTCTCTGCTCCCAGCTCATGCTGCTGCAGCCTGACCCTGCTGAGCAGCTCAGCACTTGCACAAACTAGAGGGAGGTTTTGTCCAGTTTGCCTGAGAGGCTGAGCCTTAAACAATAAACAGGGAAGAAGGGAAAAGCAGCAGAGGAAGGCAGTGCATCTCTTATCTAACAGCTCAGAGGTTACAGCACCTGCTGGTGAGGTGGAAGATTCAAGTTCCTGTCCTTGTCTGATACGAGCAAGGCTTTGAGGTCTGGGTTTTAACCTCT